AGACAAAACCCCCACATTGGATCCCTGACAAATGGAGTAAGGGCTATTATGGTAGGAAAAACCAAGTGGAAGCCATTAGAACTGCCCCTACCTAGGAAAATAGTAAACAAAAAGCAATACCACATTCCTGGAGGGATTGCAGAGATTATTGCCACCATTAAGAACTTGAAGGATGCAGGGGTGGTGATTCCCACCACATTCCCATTCAACTTGGCTATATGGCCAGTACAAAAAACAGATGGTGGACCTTGGAGAATAAGAATGAATTATTGAAAACTTAACCAGGTGGTGACATCAATTACAGCTGCTGTTCCAGATTTAGTTTCACTGCTTGAGCAAATTAATACATCTTCTGGTACCTGGTATGCAGCTGTTGATCTGGCTAATGCCTTTTTCTCCATACTTGTTTTGAAGGACAACCAGAAGCAGTTTGCATTCAGCTGGCAAGACCAGCAATACACCTTCACTGTCCTACCTCAGGGGTATATCAACTCTCCAGCTCTATGTCATAATTTAGTCCACAGGGACCTTAACCACCTTTCCCTTCCACAAGATGCTATGCTGGTCCCTTACATTGATGACATTATGCTGATAGGACCTAGTAAGGAAAAAGTGTCAATGACCCTGGACTTATTGGTAAAACATTTGCATGCTAGAGGGTGGGAAATTAATCCCACAAAAATTCAGACACCTTCCACAGTGAAATTTCTAGGGGGCCAGTGGTGTGGGGCATGTCGAGGTATTCCTTCTAAAGTAGATAAGTTATTGCATCTGGCCTCTCCCATAACTAAAAAGAAAGCACAATGCCTAGTAGGCCTCTTTGGATTTTGGAAGCAACATATCCTTCATTTGGGTGTGCTACTCTGGCCCATTTATCAAGTGACTGGAAAAGCTGCTAGTTTTGAGTGTGGCCCAGAACAAGAGAGAGCTCTACAACAGGTTCAGGCTGCCATGCAAGCTGCTCTGCCACTTGGGCCATATGATCTGGCTGACCCAGTGATGCTCGAAGTGTCAGTGGCAGAGACGCTGTTTGGAGTCTTTGGCAGGCTCCTATGGTGAATCACAGTGCAGAGCCTTAGGGTTTTGGAGCAAAGCCCTGCCATTCTCTGCAGATAACTACTCTTCTTTTGAGAAACAGCTTTTGGCTTGTTACTGGGCCTTCGTAGACATTGAACATTTAACTGTGGGCCACCAAGTCACCATGCAGCCTGAGCTGCCCATCGTGAACTGGGTGTTGTCTGATCTACAGAGCCATAAAGTCAGACATGTATTGCAGTGCTCCATCATTAAATGGAAGTAGTATACACAAGATTGGGCCCAAGTAGGACCTGAAGGCACAAGTTGCATGAGGAAGTGGCCCAAATGCTCATGGTCTCCACTCCTGTCACCTTATGTGTCCTCTCCCAACCTGCACCTATGGCCTCATGGGGAGTTCCTTATGGTCAGTTGACTAAAGAAGAGAAAACTTGTGCCTGGTTTACAGATGGTTCTGTGCGACACACAGGCATCACTACAGCAGCAGCACTATAGCTCCTTTCTGGGACCTCCCTGAAGGACAGCGGTGAAGGGAAATCCTCCTAATGGCCAGAACTTCGAGCAGTGCACCTGGCTGTTCACTCTACTTGGAAGGAGAAATGGACAGATGTACGACTGTATACTGATGCATGGGCCGTGACCAACGGTTTAACTGGATGGTCACGGACTTGGAAGGAACGTGATTGGAAAATTGGACACAAGGAAGTGTAGGGAAGAGGTATGTGGATAGACATCTCTGAATGGGCCAAAGAAGTGAAAATATTTGTGTCTCATGTGAATGCTCACAAAAGGGTGACCTCAGGAGAGGAGGATTTTAACAATCAAGTGAACAGGATGATGCATTCTTTGGAAATCGGTCATCTGCTTTCCCCAGCCACTCTCATCATTGTCCAATGAGCTCATGAACAAAGTGGCCAAGGTGGCAGGGACGGAGTTTATTCATAGGCTCAGCAACAGGAACTTCCACTCACCAAGGGTCACTTGGCCACAGCCACTGCTGAGTGCCCAATCTGCCAGCAGCAGAGAACAACACCGAGTCCCCATTATGGCACCATTCCTCGAGGTGATCAGCCAGCAACATGGTGGCAGATTGATTACATTGGATCACTTCCATCATGGAAAGGGCAGAATTTTGTTCTTACTGGAATAGATACTTACTCTGGATATGGATTTGCCTTCCCTGCATGCAATGCTTCTGCCAAAACTACCATCAATGGACTTACAGAATGCCTTATTCACTGTCATGGTATCCCACACAGCACATCACCTTGGATCAAGGGACTCACTTCACAGCAAATGAGGTGTGGTAATGGTCCCATGCTCATGGAATTCACTGGTCTTACCATGTTCCCCATCATCCTGAAGCAGCTGACTTGAAAGAATGATGGAATGGTCTTCTGAAGATACAACTATGGCACAGGCTGGGTGGCAATACGTTGCAGAGTTGGGGCAATGTTCTCCAGGTGGCTGTATATTCTCTAAACCAGGTCCAATATATGGTGCTGTTTCTCCCATAACCAGGATTAATGTGTCCAGGAATCAAAGGGTAGAAACGGCAGTGGCACCACTCACTACTACCCCTAGTGATCCACTTGCAAAATTTTTGCTTCCTGTCCCCATGACCCTATGCTCTGCAGTTCTACAGGTCTTAGTTCCAAAGGGAGGAATGCTCCCACCTGGAGACACATCACTGATTCCACTGAACTGGAAGTTAAGTATGCCTCCTGGCCACTTTGGGCTCCTTATGCCTCTGGATCAACAGGCTAAAAAGGGAGTCACCCTATTGGCCGGTGTGATTGATCCTGATTACCAAGAGGAAATTGGATTGATATTACACAATGGAGGTAAGGAAGAGCATGTCTGGAATACAAGAGATCCCTTGGAGCATCTCTTAGTACTAAAAGTCAATGGAAAAGTACAGCAACCCAATTCCAACATGACTACTAATGACCCAGACCCTTCAGGAATGAAGGTTTGGGTCACCCCACCAGGCAAAGAACCATGACCAGCTGAGGTGCTTGCTGAGGGTAAAGGGAATGCGGAATGGGTGGTGGAAGAAGGTAGTTCTAAATACCAGCTACGACCACATGACCAGTTGCAGAAATGAGGACTGTAATTGTTGAGTATTTCTTACTTGTGTGTGTGCTTCAAATATTTTTGTTTTCTTTATTTATAAAATATAAGATGTAAACAGAAGTAGCGCATTTTCAGTTGCATGCGTGTTAGTTGTATCATACTGGGTGCCAAGTATGACATTATAAGTGTCTTTATTTAGAGGTTATGTATGGTTTAAGGAGATGTGTACAGGTGCCAAGTTGACAAAGGGTAGACTGTGATGGTTAGGGTTGTGTGTCAACTTGGCTAGGCCATGATTCTCAGTGGTTTGGCAGTTATGTAATGATGTAATCACCTCCATAATGTGATCTGATATAATGTATTCACCTCCATGGTGAGATCTGCTATGAGCAGCCAATCAGTTGAAAGGGAGTTCTCCTGGAGGTGTGGTCTGTATCCAATATATATGAACTTTCTGGCAAAGCTTGCTGGCTTTTGTTGTCCTCTGGATCCTGCACCCGGCTCATCATCATCTGATCTCTAGTTCTTGGGACTTGAGCTAGCAGCCTGCTGTCTTACCTGCTGATGTTGGATTTGTCAGCCTCTGCAGCCTGTGAGCCAGGAGCCTGCTGTCTGACCTGCTGATCTTGTGCTCATCAGCCCCTGCAACCATGTGAGTCAGGAGATGCCTCCAGCCTGATGCCTGATGCACGGACTTGGGACATTCCAGCCTCTACAACCACATGAACAATTTCCTTGTTACAAATCTCTCTCTGTCTTCTTGTCTCTCTCTCAATATATGTGCTTCACTGGTTTTGTTTCTCTAGAGAACCCAGCCTAAGACAGCTGGTATTAACATTTACATGTTTCAGGTCCGTCAAGGCAGCCTTCTGAGTCCTGCCTCCCCTGGGACTCTCCCGTCAGGACTCTAGTACTGCCCCCTTCACTTTCACTGGGCTTGAGCTCTGCTATGCAGGAGAAACGGGAGAACCCGCCATGGCCCTTCAGAAAAGAGGAAGGCGTAGCTTGCAGGGTGGTTTAGGTGGGAGGAGGCCTTGGACCAGGGTCTGAAAAAGAGGAACCCCAGCCAGGCAGGACCCACCTGGAGAAGGTCATTGCCGCTGCTGGCACTGAGAAAAGCGGATCCAGGAAAGGTGGGGGTTTCCATCTTGTGCTCACCCTCTTTCCTGGGAAAGAAAGTGCAGAAGGTGGGGACAGCTGACCTGAGTTCCTCCTGGCCAGGTGAAGCCCCTGGTGCTCCCCAGGGGTGATGCCACAGGGTCCAAGTCCCTGGAGCTGCTCCCCAGCACAGGGGGTGGGGTGGAGGTCAGAGGGGCACAGCAGCCTATGTGCAGGGAAGCCAGTGCCGCAGCCCACTTGGGGAGTCTACATATTCTTTGTAAACTCTCAACAATCAGAACCCCAAAACAGCTTTTTCCTGCCCCAGGCTCCCCTCTTTACCCAGCGTGGGTACCTCAGGAGGCTGGGGAGGGTGCAAGCTTGGCCCAGGGCTGCAGGAAGCCCTCCTCCCAGGAAGAAGTGCAGGCTGTTGGTTTCTGGCCTGCCTATTGATCCATCTCCCATTTAAGGAGGAGGGAGGTGGGCACTGCTGAAGGCGTGGGTGGGAGGTGGGCCAGGTAGAACCTAGGGAGGGTGTGGCTGCTGCAGGGTCTTGGGGGAGGGGCAGAACTTGGGGTCCAGCAGGCCTCGGAATCCTTTGTGTTTCGCCTCTTCCCCCAGCAACAGTGACTCATAAAGCCGGCCTGCCCCCGCGGATCCCCACCCCCCCACAGTCCCCTCTGGAAGGCACAGGTCACAAAGGCCATGGGGGCTGAGCCCCAAGGAGGTATGCCCCACGCCAGCCCTGAGCGTTGCTCACCCCTGCTGCCGCCCGCTGGGCCGGGCCTGGGCCTCCCGCGGCGACCCGGACTGGCGACTGGGTGTGGGAGTTCGCGTGCAGTGCCCTGTAGCCTCGGCGCCCATGTGTGTCATCTGCTTCGTGAAGGCGTTGGTGCACGTGTTCAAGATCTACCTGACCTCCAACTACACCTACAATTTCCGCGGCTGGCCGGTGGACTTCCGCTGGGATGACGTGCGCGCCACTGGCGGGGGCGGCAGCGGGCACCGTGCGTTGACGTGCGCGGCAGCTGCAGCGGGCGTATGGCTGCTGCAGGGCGCGGCGTTGGGCGAGGACGCGCCTGGGCGGCCGCCGCGCGCTGCGCGCAGCCAGGCGCAGTGCTTCCTGCAGCAGATCCGCGAGCTGCCCGGCCAACTCGCCAGTTACGTGCTGGCTCACTCGCTGGGCCGCTGGCTGGTGTACCCCGGCTCCATGTCCCTGATGACGCGTGCGTTGCTGCCGCTGCTGCAGCAGGGCCAGGCGCGACTCGTGGAGCGCTACCAAGGCCGGCGCGCCAAGCTGGTGGCCTGTGATGGCAACGAGATCGACACCATGTTCATGGACCGTCGCCAGAACCCGGGCAGCCACGGCCGCGGCCTGCGCCTCGTCATCTGCTGCGAAGGCAACGCCGGCTTCTACGAGATGGGCTGCCTGTCGGCGCCGCTCGAGGCGGGCTACTCGGTGCTGGGCTGGAACCACCCCGGCTTCGGGGGCAGCACAGGCGCGCCGTTCCCGCAGCACGACGCCAACGCCATGGACGTGGTGGTCAAGTACGCGCTGCACCGCCTGCACTTCACGCCCGCGCACGTGGTGGTCTACGGCTGGTCCGTTGGCGGCTTCACGGCCACCTGGGCCACCATGACGTACCCAGAGCTGGGCGCGCTGGTGCTCGACGCCACCTTTGACGACCTGGTGCCGTTGGCGCTAAAGGTCATGCCTCACAGCTGGAAGGGGCTGGTGGTGCGCACCGTGCGCGAGCACTTCAACCTCAACGTGGCCGAACAGCTGTGCCGCTACCCGGGGCCAGTGCTGCTCCTCCGGCGCACGCAGGACGACGTGGTCAGCACCTCGGGCTTCCTGCGCCCCCTGCCGCCCGGCGACGTGGAGGGCAACCGCGGCAACGAGCTCCTGCTGCGTCTGCTGCAGCACCGTTACCCAGCCGTGATGGCGCGCGAGGGCCGAGCAGTCGTGGTACGCTGGCTGCGCGTCAGCAGCCTGGCGCAGGAGGCCGCCTTCTACGCACGCTACCGCGTGGACGACGAGTGGTGCCTGGAGCTGCTGCGCTCCTATCGCGCGCGCTGCGAGGAGCAGCTGGAGAGTGAGGAGACCTGGGGGCCGCACGGGCTCGCCTTTCCCTGGCTAGTGGGCCAGGGCCTGAGCACGCGGCGACGCCGGCAGCTCGCGCTGTTCCTGGCTCGCAAGCACCTCAAGAACTTGGAGGCCACTCACTGCAGCCCGCTGGAGCCGCAAGACTTCGAGCTGCCCTGGGCGCCATAGCCCACTTTCTCTGCGGCTCACGTGCTCCCCTTCCGACACCCCCAGCCCATAAAGCTGGCCCTGTCCGTGGATGTGGATGCAGGCAGGGATTTCTCTCAGGGAGGTGGAGATGGAATTGGGAGGAGGGTAGAGCAATACACAGAGACTCTTGTGGACCCCTCACCTGGGCGGGCCTTCTGCCTTCCTCCCTCCTTTCTCTTCCCACAAACACTTTTGGACGTCCCAGTTTGCGCCCAGCACCGAAAGGGAATGTAAAAATTAACCTGACCCAGTTTGTGACAATACTGTGTGACGGGTGCTTTGATAACCACAACAGGACAGTGGGAACTAGGGCTACGGGGAGGCACCCTGAACCCTGCCTGGGTCACAAGGACACTTCTGGAAACACACCGGCTCGCTGTTAAAGTGTACACACACATTACCCCAGCTTTTTTTGCAAGGAATGCGTTTTGTAGGTCTTTGCAGCCAGTGTAATGTTGCAGAGTGTTAGGATCCTCTCCCCACCTCCACACTCCAGGCATCTATGGGAGGGGATTCACAGCTGTACCACAGACTTGGAGTGACAGGTCCACACAGCGACATGTCCATACGGGGCTACAGGCACACCTGCACTGACCACTTGCTCCTGGCACAGGGACTCGACACAGAGGAGACAAGGCCTCTGCTCAACACCAGCTGTGATTTATTCCTTATTGTCTACCCTGAACTGCATGGAGCAGGCACCATCAGCTGTCTCTGTTGTTCCCAGCCCCTGAGAAAGGGCCTGGCCAGGATAGGTTGGGATCAGAGACTCTAAAAAGGCCAGTGGAGCAGGCATAGTATTGGCAGCACTAGAGTATGGGGAAGCACTTGGGTCTGTGAGAGCAGAAGAGGCACCTACAGGGCCTGGGGTACCAGAAGACACCTGCCCAGAGGAACTAGCCAGGTGAAGGGAGGGGCAGTGGAACAGGCTTTGCTGCAGTGGCCAGGCTGTAGCCTGAAGGGGAGGGCACAGTCCTTAGGGGCCAGGGCTTAAAGGGTCTGAATACCATTTAAGGACTTTCTTCCAGGGGCAGGTAGGAACCAAGGAAGGGAAGTCAGTGGACTTGTTTTAGCAGAGCTGGGTTGTGTCTCTGTGCCTCTCCTTTGAAGTCAGTCTGTGCCGGAAGCCCCTCAACCAGCTGTGTGACCTTAGACAAGTTACTTTAACTTCCCTACACCTCCGTTCCCTCATCAGGCCTGGCTCACAGGACTGCTGTGAATAGGGTTAGCCAATACTGGGGTGACCTGGCACAGGGCTGGGCATCGTGGGAGAGGGCTTCCCTCCAGGGTGTCTATGCCCATGGGAACTCGGCAGCCATAAGGCCAGTGTCAGAGTGTAGACCCAGCAGAGGGGCACTGGACTAGAAGAACTCAGGGGCCAAGATGACTCCAGCAACCAGGTGGGGGCGGCCTGGCTGGTCAATTCTTTTTTTGCACAACCCCCATACAGCAATACATCCGCAGAAGAACAGACTGAAAAAGGGAGGGGAAAAAAGACTAGGGGGCGAGTTGCTGACCCTAAAGTGAGGAGGTAGACATTCCCGAAGCCAGCTCTTCAGACAAAGATTAGACTGGACTATGAGACATAAAATGATACTCGTGAAAACAGTAGATACATGAGACTAAATGGGCAGCTCCCGTCCGAAGGCTCGATGAGAAAGCAAAAAGGGACAGGAGCTCATTGAATGGACACGGGAGATCCGGGGTGGAAAGGAGGAGTGTGCTGTCACATCATAGCGAGAGCAACTAGGATCACATAACAACGTGTGTATAAATTTTTGTATGGGAAACTAACTTGAACTGTAAACTTTCAATTAAAGCACAATTAAAAAAAAAAAAAAGTGAGGAGGTCAAGCCTTGAAGAGGATCTCATGGGGTCTGAGTCGTCATGACCCATGGAGGTGCATGAGCCTAGACGCTCGTGTTGTTAGTTGCTGTCGAGTGGATTCCGACTCACAGCAACCCCAAGGGTGCACAGTAGACCCGCTACAAAGGGTTTTCAAGGCTGTGACCTGTCGGAAGCAGATCGCCAGGTCTGTGTCCCGAGGCGCCTCTGGGTGGGTTCGAACCGCCAACATTTCTGTTAGTAGTGAGCGCTTAACCGTTAGCACCACAAGCAGCTACAACTCCCCTCAAGGCCCTCTGGGACCCAGCCCTGGATTTCCTTAGCGCCATCTTGACCGATCGTCCCACTTCCCACCTTCCCGTGCTCCTGCTCCTCCGGACCGTTCTACCTGCGCGTCTCGCTGGTGGAGTCGACCAAGGAGGGATTTCCCTCAGAACCCGACCTCGCTTTCCTGCTACCTCCACAGGCTCAGCCTATCAGGTTGGAGCGCTGAGCAGCGACTAGGCCGAAGAACGCCCTCATTGCACACAGCCCATGGTGGGCGGGACGAGGGCGGGGCACGTGATAGGGCGGAAGTGGGCCGTCGCGTTTCTGATTGCGTAACGCTTCAGCCGCAGAGGCGATTCCGCTGGTTCGTGTGTACGCGGCGAGCGATTCCCGGCGCTGCTCGTCCGGCTCCTCGCGCTCGCGACCCCGACCTCGACGCCTGCTGCGGCCCGGCCGCCGCCTGAACATGGATCCCGCCGGCCAAGGTACCCGCTGGGCTTGGCTCCCCCGCCGCAGATGGGCCTGGCTGCCTGGTGCTCCGCCCCTCCCAGGGTCTCGTCGCGGATTCCCTGTCCCTTCAGCCCCTGTCCGTGCTGTGTACGGTGGCCCCTCTTCAGCTCCCAGGCCCTTGTCCTCGGAGATCCCGGTGGTCGGGCTGCTTCCCATCCCCGCATCCGCGGCCCTCCCGACCTCCCCTGGAACCGCTCGGGGGACCGCTTCCCGGCGCCCTCCCCTCGTTCCCGGAGATTTTGTTTTCCTCATCCCAGGCAGCTATCGTTATCCCGCTCACCCCCAGCCCGCCGTCCACCATCCCAACCCAGGGCCCTCCGGGACACTCTGTCTGGCCCTGGATCGGGGCCGATTGTTGTGGCCGTTCCGGGGGAGCGGAGGTGAAACCGTTCTCGCGTTCAGCGCTGCGCCCCTTGGGTGGCAACCTGCTGGGGCCCAGTCTACTTAGGGATTGCCACATGGGGAGAAGGGCGGAGTGAGTCAGGGGCACACCCAGAACACTAGGCCTGTTTCCAGAACAGGCACCCAGACCAGTTTGATACGGCCTCTGGGGTGTGGAGCGGCCCAAACCCAAAAAACAAAACCCGTTGCCGTCCAGTCGTTCATACTCCTAGTGACCCTACAGAACAGAGTAGAACTGCCCCGTAGGGTTTCCAGGGAGCGGCTGGTGGATCCGAACTGCTGACCTTTGGGTTAGCAGCTGAGCTCTTAACCAGTGAGCCACGAGGACTCCGGAGCAGGCCCAGGGGAGTAGAATCTTGAGAAGATGCTAAGAGTCTGTTTTCTGTTTTGGAGCTCTAGAGGGGATGCTGAGCTCCTAGGCTGAGGCAGCTACAGTCAGATCAGGATGCTCTTCTGTTCCACCTGCCTCAGCAAACTTACCAAGCATTAGGATCTCTGGGTTTGAATACACTCTGCAGGTTTTTCTACTTTTGACATTTACTTCGAAGTAAGGGAGCATCAAAAATCCTGGGTTCTGATACTTCTTCACAAAGGCAAATTCACAAGACGACTTGCATCTGTAATTTAGTTAAGTATCAAAATTACTGGATTCTGATCTTGAGAATTACAGTAAGCACTTATTATATGCCAGGTCTCTCCTCTCGGCTACTATAAATGTTGGCGGTTGAAGCCACCCAGCAGTACCACAGAAGAAAGGCATGGCCATCTGCTTCTGTTAAGATTACAGCCCAGAAAACCATATTATTCTGTAACATGTGAGGTCGCCATGAGTTGGAAGTGACATGACAACAGTGAGTTTTTGTTTTTTTACATGCCGGACACCATTCTAAGCCCATTTCTCAAATGACCTTTTTACATTTTCAGGACAGACTTTGAGATTGGTCTGCCGCTTTACAGATGAGTATACAGGCTAGAGAGCTAGGACTTACGCAGCATGGAGGATTCTAGCCCTCTAGTTTTGCCTGAGGCCCTGGTCTCACCCTTACTCTCTGTGGGACCTGTGGTAGGACTCTCTTCTGGCCTCAGTCTCCTCTTCTGTAAATGCAGATGTGAGTAGCATCTGCTTGCAGGGTGTGCTGATGTTGGCGTTCACACAGCGTGATGGTGCAGTACCTGGTACACGTTTGCCAAGTGCCCAGTTTCTACCTGGGGGTGATTTCTGTGGGAGCTAATTCTAGCTTTGCAGGTAGAAACTGCTCAAGGGCCTTCATTTATTTTTTAAAAATCCAGGATAAAAATTGTAGCAATTTCAAGGCATTTCCTGAACTTGAGTAGGTTCAACATAATGGGTACACGTCAGTTGATCTCAGTTGAGAATCGGATCGGTTAATAAAAAAGTGGACACGTTTCGTTTAGTAAACATACGTTGAGTGCCAAGGAAGTGGGCAGCTCCAGCTCCACAGTAAGGAAATAACACACTTTTTAGTAGAATAGCTTTGGTTTTAGATGAAATTTGTTTTTCTTAGACTTAGGATTTTTGCAGAAGACAGACATATCTGCAATTAAAGGCATTTTGCTTTTTGTTAATTTATTAAATCGGTAGCAGGGATGTGCTGGTTAAGAGGGAGGATGTTTCAGTGCTGCTTGTATGAGAAGTGATGAACAGTACAATAGTTCCCCTGTATCCGTGGGGGGCACATACCGAGACCCGCCCCCCGTGGATGCATGAAACCATGTATAGTACTGAGCATTTATAAACGCTCACAGCATCTATAAATGCTATGTTTTGTTTTGTGTATACGTATCTGTGATGAAGTTTGATTTATAAGACAGGCATGGTAAGATGTTACCAACGATCACTAATAGTAACATAGACCAATTATAACGTTGTACTGTAGTAGAAGTTATGTGAACGTGGTCCTCAGGTGGGACAGAGCAGGACGGTGCAAGATTTCATCACGCTGTCCATTTAACATTTTCGGACCGAGGTTGACTGCGGGTAACTGAAACCTTGGACAAGGGAGGGTGCTGCTGTACTCGTGTTTGGGGTTGGAAAGGACTGAAGTAGGCTGTCTTCCCCTGGGTGGTGTCTCAAAGAAAAGTGTGCAGACAGGTAGATATGTTTAATGTGAAGGGGAAGGAGTGTGAGATGAACACCTGACCTGGGGGTATCACAAGTGTATGTGGTGGCAGTGTCCCCATGCTGTGCCCAGAGGGTGCCGACTGGCCCCCTGATGACTGTTGCGGACTGGACTAACGGATTTTGTTTTGCTGACTCCCTGTAGGGGCTGGGCGGCTGGCACAGGCTTCTGTGTATAATTTTCACGTGGGCCCTGGCAGACAGCTGGGTGGAAAGTGAGCCTTCTTGTGTTTATAGCCGTATTAAGTTCCTTCACTCTGAAAAGTGGAAGATCTGTTAGATCAAGCTCCTTGTTTGTAGTGAGGGTTTCCTCAGTTGGAAAGTTGTATCCCCACAGGGAAACCAGAGTTAGGGTAGCTGTCTGCTCCAGCATCCCCAGTGCCCAGAAGCGATGCACCTGGTGTGGGGTTTGCTTTGTGGTGGCCGGAGTTCCTGGATGGGCTGCCCTCCATCTGATGGCCCATCCCGTCTTCCAGAAAAGAGGCTGTTAGTCTCAACGGTCTCTCCCAGCCACCCTCTTTGCCCTTCCACCTTTGCTTTCTCCCTTTGTGGAGACTCCTACCCTGTTTCCTTCTTGACAGCTTTCTACTGGACACTCTCTGACCTCGCTTTGTCTCTGGTAGATATCAACCTGAACTCTCCTCACAAAGGTCTGCTGTCCGACTCCATGATGGACGTCCCTGTTGACACAGGTGTGGCTGCCCGGACTCCTGCTGCCGAGGGCCTGACAGAGGCTGAAGAAGAGGAGCTCAGGGCTGAGCTCGCCAAGGTGACTGTGCTACAGGGTGCTCCAGGGTTAATGAGGGGCCAGGGTGCTGGCCCTGCTCTGGAGGAGTTGCCCTGGGGGTCACCATTGCACTGCACTCAGAGCCGCTGGTGGAGGCAGGATCCGAACCTGTCCAGCCACCACTGTGCTTGGTTGGGAGGACACTGCGCAGACAGCTGCTCTGTGAATGCCAGTCATTTTCAAGACCCCATAGAATGCTAGGTGCTGTCTGCCCTGGATTTTAATCTTTCTTTTAAAGATACTTTTTTGTAAAAGATACATTTTAAAAACTTTTTCCATTGATCTTTAAGCAAGAGTCCCTTAAGGGGAAAATTGGAATTGAGAGCAAGAGTCTCTGGGCATAGTTTTTATCAAACCAGGAGGATGACTTCACGTTCCTTCTCACCCCGTGACACGGCGTTAAATAGTGGCTCACTTTAGTTTCTAGAATCCGGGGCGGGAGCCCTGGGTGTCATGGGCTTGGCTCTGTCTTCATGGTGTTCTTGGTACGTTCTGGATCCAGTCCTGGATCTGGACAGAGTGGGTCCTGCAGGCAAGCCTCAGCCCAGGACTGGGTTTCGGATCACTGGGGGAAATTACACAGCTGTCCTGCATCAAGAGAAGGTTAAGGGAGAGGTAGTAAGAAGTCCAGGTGGTGAAGGCTTTGCATTTTATTTCAGAATATGTTGGTTTAGAAAGGAAAGCCACAAGGTCTTTTTCAGGGTGGAATTGCCAAGGCAGGAAGGTCTTGTGTCACAGATTTCAGCTACATGCTGTCTAAGACAGCCAGACTCCACAAAGCCTGTGCGCCATCAGACCGTAAGTGGAACGTTCTGGTCACTGGTGGTGTACCTGGAGGGGTGGGAGTTTGGCTTTAGGTGACTGTACGTGATTTTTAATGATTTCTTGTCAAAATTGTTTTCTAAAGCAAGGTCTAGTGACATGTAGGGCTGTGAGCTGGTATTTAGTGCCTCTCTGTAGTCACTGTTCCAAGAAAGGGAATGTTTTTAGAATAGGTGTTCCTGCAGGAGCTGAGGACGTTGAGAACTCTTTCTAAAGCAGGAAAGCTGTTAAGGGTGCTCCTTTCAAAAGCCATGATATTTGAAGACCTGAGAAAGCTCAAGGCTTTGTTCCCTGGAGTCGTTTTCTAGCCCAGCCCAAACCTGCTTACATACAAAAGAGTTTCCTTTCTGGTCTGTGTAACTGGCTTGTGCTGAGGGCTGAAGCTGACCTAGCAACGTAGATGCATAGAGCTGTCTCTGTCCATCATCGCCCCTGCGTGTGAAGCCCCCTCATGGCTGCAGGTGGGCTTGGCTGCCGGCACTTTCTGGTCTGTGTAACTGGCTTGCCCTGAGGGTTGAAGCTGACCTAGCGACATAGATGCATAGAGCTGTTTTTGTCCATCCCCCTGCATGTGAAAACTCCTCATGACTGCAGCTAGGCCTGGCTGCCGGCACTTTCAGACTTTTCTTGTCCAGGCCCAGAAGGCAGACAGGCTTCTGTCAGCACCTGCCCAGGGCCTGGGGAAGAGGTCTATTGAGCCAGCTTGGCACATGCTCATCCAGGGCGAGCCCTGGGGCTGAGCACTGATGTGCGGCCCCCAAGACCACCTGGCTTGGGGGTTGGGACTGTGCTCCAGAAGAAGTTGGGGTGCTTGTACCAGTTAAAAGTAGACCAGGTGTCTGCCACAGGGCCTGCTCCTGGGACCAGTGATGTCTCCGTGAGCAGAGAGTGTTAGCGTATGCTGGGCATTAGTCGCTTCCTGCCGTAGTGATGGCTGGTCACGTCAGCTCGTGCCTTTTGCAGGTGGAAGAGGAAATCGTCACTTTGCGTCAGGTCCTGGCAGCCAAGGAGAGGCACTGTGGGGAGCTGAAGAGGAAGCTAGGCCTCTCCGCCCTGGACGGGCTGCGGCAGAACCTATCCAAGAGCTGGCACGACGTGCAGGGATCCAGCGCGTAGGTACCCACCCCACGGGCAGACAGGACAGAGCCTGAGTACCTGGGGACGGGCCCTGCCGGAAGAGAGAGACCCAGTGTGCCAGGACCAGCCCTGTGGCTTGGGGCCTGTGTGCATTTATGCTCAGAGCACAGAGCCCACCCACAGGCATCCTGCTCGTTGTCCAGGTGGAAACTGGGTGGGCAGATGCATGTCATGGTCCCGTGTGACATCTCTGTGTCCTGTAACTCAGGGCCTGCTGGGGTGCCCACAGAGCCCTTCACCAGCGCTTAGTTGCACAACCTAGGCCTTTACCCAGACGCGCCTCAGCTCTTCTGAATTTGGGGCGCACCACCTCTGACTCAGCCTTGGGTCTGCGGCTCTGCTAAACGCACCCAACAGGTGGCTGTTGGGGAGATGCTTCAGCCACGGGTGGCTGTGCCCTGCCATCTTCCCTGCAGCAGTGACTGCCCACTGAGTACTGCCTCAGGCCTGACTGGCAGGAACGAGTGGCTCCCAGCAGCCTCACCTGGGCTCACCTAGCCCTGCACGTGTGCTGAGCAGTGGTGGGGGCGTGGTCAAGGCAGCAGGCCATCCGCAGGCCAGCCCGTGGTTTGCCGTTTCTGCCGTCGGGTCCTTTTCTGTCTTCAGAATTCCACAGACAGTTTGAAGCCTGAATTGAAGTAGTTTTTCTAAATTTTTCATCACAGACTTTCTGTTTCTAGCTACATGAAAACTTCTGAGAAACTTGGAGAGTGGAATGAGAAAGTGACCCAGTCCGACCTGTGAGTGCCTGTGGCCTGCCAGCACCGCCCCTCCTTCCCTCCTCCCGCCCTTCCTCCCTTCTGTCCCTCCTCTCGCTCTTCCTCCTGACCTGGAGGGTGGTGTGTGCTTGACAGAGACGGAGTTCTGGTGTTTGCTGGCTCTTTTCTTAATCTACTTTTTCTTAAATACAAGTGAAGGAGGCCACGCTATGCTTTATACTCTTGCTGAATAGGGTGCAGTGGGACAGATGGGGGCAGTGGGGCACAGACGGCACAGCGGGATGGACGGGGTACAGCAGGGCGGACACGGCACAGACAGCCGTGGAGCAAACGGGGTGTAGATGGTGCAGCGGGGCAGGTGGAACAGATGGGGCACAGATGGCACAGGAGGGACAGTGCAGACAGCGCAGCGGGGCAGATGGGATGGACGGGGCGTAGATGGCGCGGTGGGGCGGATGGGGCGCAGACGGAGCAGCGGGGCGGATGGGGCGCAGCAGGGTGGATGGGGTGCAGTGGGGCGGACAGTGTGCAGACGGAGCAGTGGGGTGGATGGGGCACAAACAGTGCAGCGGGGCCGGCGGGGCGGACGGGACGCAGACGGAGCAGCGGGGCAGATGGCGCGCAGCAGGGTGGATGGGGTGCAGATGGCACAGCGGGGCTGACGGCGCAGATGGTGCAACAGGGCGGACGGGGTACAGATAGCACAGCGGGGCAGACGGGGCGCAGTGAGGTGGGCAGGGTGCAGACGGAGCAGCGGGGTGGACGGGCCGCAAACAGTGCAGCGGGGCAGGCAGGAGGGACGGGACGCAGACGGAGCAGCAGGGCAGATGGGGTGCAGCAGGGTGGATGGGGTGCAGATGGCACAGCAGGGCGGACGGGGTGCAGCAGGGTGGACGGGGTGCAGATGGCACAGCAGGGCGGATGGGGCGCAGCGGGGCAGACGGCGCAGCAGGATGGACGCGGTGCAGACGGCGTAGCAGGATGGGGAGTAGCCTTAGAAGGAAATGCCACTGAGTCGCCAGGCCTCACGTGACCTCACTGAGCTGGCGTGCTCTCATCAACGGGCTCTGAGGGGCCCAAAGAGCATCTGTAGCTCAAAGTTCTTGGGCTTTTAAGCAGGCAAAGCTGCCAAGTGCCAGCCGGCCTAACCCTGCTGGTGGCAGCGTGTTTGTCTGACTGGTCTTGTTTCGTTTTGTCCTCCATCGGGTCCTGAGAGCATCCTTGCATTTCTGGTTCCAGGTGAGGGAGGTGTGGCTTGGGGCCGGCCAGTGGGGTCTGGAAGAGCTCCTTTTGTTCTAGAAGGTTCTGCACTGTCAGTCACATGGAGTGTGAGCCGCTGGGAGTCACGGTGGGTAGGTTTAACCAAGGTTCTGCTCTGGGAGGAGGACTGTGTCACAGCTGCTAGCTCACGGTGACTCCAGGTGTCTCATTGAAGACCCTGAAACTAGGTTGTGACACCTTGGAGAATCTGTTGCAGTCTGATTACACACCTTGTAAACTGGGTGTCGTATTTGAAGACCATCTCTATCTGGAAGGAAGTGCTGTCACCATTGCCAGAGAACATGGTCAGACGGGCCTTCCCTGTCTGGTAGGGGAGGACATGTCATGGACAAGCGAGAGGAGGCCCCCACTTGCATCTCATTGGACCATTCACTGGCTGAGGGTCACACTCCCCACCGGGGGAGAGACTGGTCTAGGCGAAGGGGAGGCTGAGGCACCAGCTGCAGCATACTGACGGCCCAAACGCAGACTCTGTGGAGATACTTCTCTGAATTCTCTGCTTGAGACTGTTTTCCTTCAGCAAACTGTAGAACGTTAACAGGGTTTCGTGTGTTTGTTATTGCAAAAAAGGCAGCCCTTAAGATATTCTGAATTGCATTTCTGAAATTAAAAATCGCAGGTCATTTTATATCATTTATGTGGTGTTTTGTAAAAAGTAACTGTGATCCAGGGGTACCAAAACTTCAGTTTCCTGCAGATAATCTTACTTAACCCATTTTGAAGTGACAGTATGTAACGGAGTGAGGTCTTGGGTGGGGCCTCTGGAGGGTAGGGGTGCTGGGAAGGCTCCGAGGCCCTTGTGCTGAGCTGCTGCGCGCTGTGTGCTGTCACTCACCCGGGACCCCTCACCTTTACTGTCTCGTCTTTCCAGAGTCCCGAGCAGGTGGTGGTGGCACGGGGTGAAGTCCCTGTCAGGTCGATGGTGAATGACAGGCCCACCTGGCTTGGAGGGCTCCTGGGGAGAGTAGAGTGGAGGCCACATGGAACCCTCCGAACAGAGTGTGTGGACTGTGGTGATCTGTGAGCATTGCTGTGGCCTGGTTTTGACCCTGCTCTCAGCTTTGCTCCCCCGTCCTCAGGGTTAGTGGGTCTGGTCTGCGTCATTGCACTGCCAACACAGTGCTGGGTTTTGCTCCTGATCCAGCATGAGAGGAATTGCTGGTAGTCAGATTCCCCTCAAGCTTAGAATTTGGATTCTTGACTAGTTACTGACTTTGGGAAATTCAGAAGCGATTTGTTCTGCAAGTGTTTTAGGATTTCTTTCTCTCCGCCTTGCTAAACACTTCCAGGTTTCAGGATTGGGTTAACAATGATATGTGACTAATTTACCAACCTTTCTGGAAACTAAGGTAAACTCAGCGTTCTGGAGACTTCAGGAAGTTTCCAAAGTGTATTGCTGTCACATATAACATGTACTTGAGACCTTGGCTTTCTGGGACCCGAGGAAGCATGAGAGGACCCTCTGCGTAGTGAGCAGAGTTCCGCCGCTAACTGAGGATGCCCTGCCCCGGGAATGGGCTAGAAGACGCCCCATGCTGGGAGACCCCTCCGGGTTGGTGAGGCCACAGGGGCAGGACCGGGGTCTGGAGAGCGGTCACAGCAGAACTGGGACCCAGTATGGGCCAGCTGGAGCATTAAGAAGGGAGACCAAAGCGGGGATGGGCCGAGGCCAGGTGAGTAGGGCTTGTGTGGAGCAGCAGTTGGAAGAAGCAGGAGGAGGCTTTGTCAGCAGGAGCCCAGGTGGGAGCCAGCCCTCAGGGAGGATGGGGATGGGCTGGGGAAGGCGCAGAGCTGGGCCCAGGGCACCACTGTCGGCTTCTTGTGCCACTGCGACCCGCTGGTTCTGGCAGCGACGGGAGGAGGCTGGTGCCATTTCGGGCTAGTCAGGCTGATCTGGAAAGAAGCCTCTTGGGTGGTGACCGGTGGTGCTGAGACAGCCTGGAAGGTCTCGATACTGGCCTGAGGCTTCCTGCCTTGACTAAGCGGAGCGCTGTGGCCAAGGACTTTGGGTTCAGGATTTGGTGATGGGTTTTGTCACGTTAAAGGCTGCCACATGTTCTGCCTTTTGTTTCTGGAGGCAGCTGGATGGGGCAGGCAGCGCCAGGTGTCCTTCCCAGGGTGGTCCATGGCCCTAGCTGGCCTGTGGCTGCAGCGTCTGGCCTGTGTGGCTCTTTGCCATATTGCAGAAGCCAGGCTGATGTGAGGACACGGAGCTGTGTCCTGCATGCTGCTGTGCTTGGGGGGAGAGGATGGAAATAAGGGTCTTCATTTGGTTCCGAGACCAGATGCTCACTTTGCAAATGGTGCAGCAGGAAGCTGTGCACCCGATGCCCCCATTTTGGGGAGCGCTGACCCCACACATCCACATGTGTGCACTTATGAGCACTCCACCTCCACTGTCTGGGTGTGGACGTGGCTGGGCTCAGAATCCTCCCTTATGGGTCCTGCTTATATGAGAGAAGGTGGGAGCATCCAGTGTGCGTCGATTGGGTTCCCTTCCGCGTGGTGAGGGGCTGTTGAGAAGACCGTCCTGCCCCGCCCCAGCCTTGCGGGCCTCGGTCTGGGCTCTGCTCTCCAAGGAGAAGAGTGGAGCGGATGGCTGGGGCAGGCAGGTCTCACGTGGATGCAGGAGTTGAGCAGTAAGACCAGAAGAGCAGAGTACCGTCACAGGGTTGGGGAGATGTAGCTTAGCAAAGCTAAGAGCTCAGTGCATGAGGGCCACGGGGACAGGTTGGGTCCCCTCCGTAGCAACCAGGCGGGTGCTCATATCTCTGACTCCTTCTCTGTCCCTGCGGGGCCTCTGAGTGCTGGGCTGTGTGTGCTCCTGGGCTGCAGGTGGCCTGCCTCTCCCATCTGGTTGATCAGACTTACGTTGCTTCTTCCCAGCTACAAGAAGACTCAAGAAACACTCTCACAGGCAGGACAGAAGACTTCGGCTGCCCTGTCTACTGTGGGCTCCGCAATCAGCAGAAAGCTTGGCGACATGAGGTGAGATGCCCACTGCTCTGCTCTGCCTTGCGGTCTGGCCTTTACAGGCTTCTGGGGGAGCCTGGGTGAGGCGGTCCTGGCACCCTGACTGCAGCCACGCCAGCCCTGGTCTTAGCCTTGTGTGTCTGCCTCCACTTCCGTATCCTCAGGGGAGGAAAGGTGGTCGTCAAAGCCGCTGGTCACCTCTCCTGACGGTGACAGCTCAGAATCGGTGGAGGCGGCGCTTGGTGTGGACGGTCTACTGGGAGGAGCCGACCGGGGGCCAGGCATGCCAGAGTGGGGATCTGTCTCGGGCGGGTCACAGCTGTCCCCAGGAAAAGCCCCCACGTCGATTCCTTGGCGTTTGCGCTCTCAGAGAGATGCTTGCTGGACGCCAGCATGCGGCCAGGTGCCCGGGGCTCAGCCTGCACGTGCTCTCCCAGAGTCTTGCCCTCACAGGCAGCGACTGGGGACAGGGCGTGGACTGGGCAGCTCAGGCGTGCGGCGGCCGCACACCCGCTCACCCAGGACATCTAACGTCTGGCCACGTAGGGGCCTCACCAGTGTCTCCTGCCCTGCCTGTGGCTGTGCCGCCGGCCCTCCTCTGACCTGCAGTGGTGAGGAGGGTGGGCCTGGAGCGCGCTGCACCTCATCCTCGTGTCCAAGTGGGGGTGGGGACAGGCCCCCCAAGGGCGTTGTGTGTACAGGTGGGGGTGGGGACGGGCCCCCTGCGGGCATTGTCTGTACATGTGGAGATGGGGATGGGCCCCCCAAGGGCATTGTGTGTACAGGTGGGGGTGGGGACGGGCCCCCCAAGGGCGTTGTGTGTACAGGTGGGGGTGGGGAC